TTGGCCCCAGACACTGCGGACCAATGTCCTTTCCTTCCCCAACAAAAATGCCAACCGAGTAGGGCAATGCCAGTGGGCTCTGGACTCCCATGGCTTGGGCTCTACCATCACATAAATCCAGAAAGCACTTTTCAGAGGACCTCTGTGTGGCAAGTTACCTGTCAATCCACTTCCACGGGGCTCTCAGGGGTATGTGCTTATTTCAGCGAGCAGGTGAAGGAGAGGTAGGTGTGTTTGCTGGGTTGATCCTTCTGAGGGCACAATGCACCCCAGAGAAAGAAACTCTACCCAGATCCTGGAGATCAGGAATCTAGTGAAGAAAGGATGATTTGCCAGCACCAGTCTGGAGAGAGCTCTCCTTGCAGATCTCACGCCTGTTTTCTGGGGCTGAGCATGAGTGAAGTCTACAAGTGAAGGGGCGAGCCAGCCCAGGTCATCTCCATTGCATGAATGCCTTTTTCTGGGAGGGTTATACCTGTTATACCTGTGCTGGCTCTTTCACTGCCTCCTTTGAAGCTGCCTGCCACCTGCCATTGGTGTGGTTAGGCCCAGCTGACTCTACTCCTAGACTTAGGTAGGTAAGGGGGGGAGTGGGGTGGTTGTGGGGTGAGGGTGTGTGTGTGTGTGTGTACTCCACACCTCACACCACGAGTGGCACGGTTTAGGTCAGTGACTGGAAACGGCACTGTTCCCCAGGCTTCACTATGGCATCCAACCCAACGGGTCAGGGTGCTCAGAGCTACATCCAGCCATCTCCTCTGACTTATTCGGATGGTGATAGCCGTATACACTCTTGAGGGCTTGTCTGGAGGCGGATGCCTAGTTTTTCTTTGTCTTCCAGTCAGGGAACAGCCCCATGCCATTAAGTAGACACTCATTTGGAAGACAGGACTCTGAAGCAACCTTTCCTTCAGGGACGGGGAAGCAGAAGATAAACGCGAGGGGAATGCAGACTCTAATGCCGGCCTCCCCTTTGCCCCCAATACCCCATCTGCTCCAGAGCTTAGCAGGGATGCTTGCTATTTAAAACAAACAGCCTTTCTGGTTTCACATGATCATGTTTATTTGGGTCGTGTGGGGACAGCAACCAGGAGATGTCAGACAAAAGCAATGAGTCTAAAAGGTTTTAGTCATGCCCCCGCTCCCCCAGTCTCTTACTGCCTACCAGAGCCCCAAAATGGCCAAGCAGAATAGATCAACCGTTTCCCCAGTGGGGGAGGGGTGGGGGAGAAATATTAAGGAGGAACAAAGGGAGGGCAGTGACTATGAGGGGCTGTTTGACATTTTAGGCCCAGCTTCCTGTCCCACAGGGTGGGGCTGGGGTCGAAGCTGACACTTTTCAGTCACTCAGGAAAGGGAAGATGAGTCTTGTTGACGTTTCATCAGAAAGGCTAGCATGTTTTTTGGAATAACCCAAAGACCAGGAATCTCTGCAGAGTGGCCCCCAGAGTGTGTGTGTGTGGCTTCTGGGTGCCCATCAGGGTGGGCTTGCTCACAAGGGAATTTCTACTCAGTCTCACCCCTCAACAGACGTGTGCACCCCAATTCCCAGTTCAAATCGCACCATAGCCCCCATTTTTCTAGTCTACAGAACCAGAGACATCTACCCCCTTCATAAGACAGCCTTCTTAGCCCCCCAGAGCTCAGCACACTCATTCCAACAAAGCATTCCATTTCCAAGGGGGCTTCCAAAAGCATTTGGGGAACATGGAATGAGAAGATAATGGAATTTTACCAAAACCCTTTTTGAAGCCCCTTCTTTTCCCCCCAGAGCTGGGAAATGCCACCCCGTCGCCCCTTCAAAGCTCACAGGGAGAGGCTGGGAGGTGGGCGAGGCCAAAGGCAGCAGAACTTTGCATCAGTTCCCAGCAGATGGGCTACCCCTTCCTTCATTCTTGGTTTCTGGAGCTTTGCAGCCGTCGACATGAAAACAAGATGGAAAGAGAGGGTGTCCAATGTGGGATGAAGTCCGGGCAGACAACTACTCCACCTAGGGCCACCCTAGGCAACATTCACTTAGCAAATATTTGTTGTGTGCCAGGCACTGGGCTAAGTATCCCAGTAGTCAAGGCCAGGCAACCTGTGGTAACGCAGAGTGAGGTAAAAGGTCATGGAACAGAACCCAGTCCTGCAGGAGCACCCGTAGGAGGTTTCTTCTGCTCACGGCCAGCATGCTGGGCGCAGCCCAGGCGGAGCTGCAGCGGCACAGACAGTCTCACCGGGGACTGCTTTGGAGAGGTGGGCTCCCAGATAATCACATTCTTTCTCAGAAGGGATATGAGGAAATTAAGCGGATTTAAGGTGGGGTTTGCCAGCTGAACCTGATTCCTAACAGCCTGGCTTCTATAATACAAAGGATCTTGAATTAGGCTGACATATTCTGTGCTGATGGTAGCTACCATCGAATCCGTCCCCAATTCGTGATATTCCATCCACACCAGAAGCAAATGCTACCCTTTCCAAGGAGCTAGTCTCTACAGAAACCCCACTCCTAAACTCACCAAACAGGTCACACCAAGTTCCACCTTGTTTTCTCCCCCTCACTGCTGCAAATAATGCATGGCTGCATGAGTTGAGGGCACCTAGTCCAACCTCCCAAGAGATGGTGACTTCCCCAAGGTTACAAGCTACCTGCTCTCTCTTCTCTTTGGGGGCAGCACAGCCCCCAAAGTGCTATCTGCATGGAGGTCCAGAGTCTTTTAAAACTTCATGGAAATGAGTGATGATGGGAAAGGAAGAAGTTAGTAACGCTCACCTTGCTTAGCGGCGCTCCTAAACAAGGTTAGCAGATAACCGAGGTGACCAGAAAACATAAATGACCTGAGAGGCCCCCTGAGGAATCTGACTTCTAACTGCTCCGTGTAGGTTTCCATCCCTTATGTGTGCTCTGTCCAGCCTCGAAAGGTGACTAGGGAAAGGGGCAGATCTTTATCCGGGCAGTCACCCTGGGTGTGGACCTTGAGTAATAAGGAAAGAAATGCAGTTCCCAAGCACAGAGGGAGGAGCTATGCTGTGTATGCCTGAGAAACCCAAGAAGCTGGACAGCCAAGACCTGCAGCTTGAGAAGCATGGGCCCAATGGTGGCAATGGGCTGGAAACTGGAGGAGGAGGAGGAGGAGGCTGGTCAAAGTGGAAAGTTGAAAGGGAAAGGACGAGGACTTTAATGAATTCTTGGGAGAAGAAGCGAAGGCATTTTATTGGAGTACGTTCAGGTCATAGAGTGAGCCCAGGCAGAGTATGAGTAAAGAGAGGTGGAGCCCGGCATGTGAGTCAAGATCCTGTGGGGGTAGGGGACACGGCGATAGGGAAGGGGCCCCTCCCAAGGCAGTGGGATGGGAATACAATCAGTGCTCTGTGGGGTGGGCTAAGGTCTGCTGTCCCAGCAAAGCAAGCTTACACGTGAACGTAAGGCTTGAGGATCATATCTCTAAAACCAAAACGGTGTGTTGCTGTGCTAGTAATTAAGGCCCCTCACAGCATGCAGGGACCTCCCCCACCTCCGACACGGGCCTGACCCTGGCTGGGCGGCCCACAGCAGATCCCACTCCACTAGCACAAACAGACCTTTCCAGAAGGTTCCAGGACCTCCTGGGAGGGTCTATCCTGCCCAGTCCGGGGGCACGCTTCAGTCTAGCACCATGCCAGCTTTGGGGCTGCGACGCCACATCTGCCCAGCCCTCAGTCCCCAGCCTGCTCTGCTGCCCATCCCAGACACTTCTGTTGGACGTGCGGGAGCTCAGCCACCTCTGAAGAGTAACTCTCGTGACAACTCCGAGCCATCGGTCAGACAGGCCCTTAAACCTCACACCATAAATGCACACCAACATGAATTCAAGTGCTCAGGTACACACTTTTCTGCTGTCAGTGCAAAAAATGTTTAGCAAAAAGGGGCAGATAAAATATAAAGGTATCCCATGAGAGACGTTTCCTGCATCAACTCTTTACAGGTTCTGAGCTATGAAAACAAGATGAAGCCACCCACGACCACAGGAAAAGGCCAAAGGAAGGGGCATATCGGCAACTCACACACAGCCTCGCGGTTCAAGAACAAGAATGAAAGCCGCAGACACAGGGCAAAAGGACGCAGACCACCGAAGACATTTGTGAACAAAACGTGAAAATGTTTGACTTTGCCATTACGGAAAATTGAAATAAATAATTTCCCACCACCTTGTCACAGATTTTGAACAATGAGTCTCTTAGAGACGTCAATGGCAGGGCGAAAGAAGACACTGTGGAAATATAAACTGCACACCTCTTGCTGAACAAACGGAAAACGTGTGTTCAGCGTCCCAGCTCTCACTCGGCAGGTTTCCTCTTCGTCTTCTGATCGTCAGCCTAATACAAATGTATGTCACAGCAGCACGAGACAAGCACGAATATCTTTTCATACGACGACAGTCCCTGAAGCGTCAGTCAAACAGTGAAAACCAGAAAGCCTGAGTTTCCAACTAGGAGCAGTCAGTCCTTTTCGCGAATGTGATCCTCACAATGGAGCCGTGTGAAGAAAGCAGGGCTGTCAACATACCAAAATATTAACCGCTGTCCTTGGGCACCATGAAATTTTTAAGTTTTCTGAAATATGTATTAGTCTTATCAGAAAAAAGTTGTATTATTAAATGAAAGAGGTGGTAACACAGTAATCTTATGCTCAATATGATCCCATATTTGCAGTGTAAAAATACAGGTGTACATAAAAGTGTCAAGAGCAGGCAACAAAATGTAAAATACCTTCATTTGAATTGTGGTTGTGGTGTTTTGGCTTTTAAATTATGTTCTAAAACTTATCTAATGAAGATGTGTTACTTTTATACAAGAAATCAAAGTGTTGGAGGGAGCCAGCCTGGGCTTTATTAGGATCTCATCTCTCTTGACTTCATTTGGCCCATCTCTATTTCCCATCCTACCCTTTCCCTGAACTATCCGTATGTACTTGTGTAGACGCCGAGTTTTTCAGCACATTTTCAATGCCGCTTTGTGGCAAGATTAGGTGCCTCAGCTGATATTCGGGTTGGCTTAAAGTCGAGTATATATGGTACTTCCATTTCATCCCCAAAGGTGGTTTCTTTGTCCATTTTGCCCCAGGAGCTCTCGCTGCCGTTGAAATCTGTAGCTCTCCAGAAATCATTAGTCTGGCCCCACGGTCCAGTGAGAAAGGAGGACAGTGGCTCTAGGAATGGGGAGGTGGAATTGGAAGATGCTTCTTTTCTTTTCTCTTTTTGAAGAGTAGGGGAGAAGAGAGGTTTCCTAACTCAACTGCTGGGCGGGTGGTGAACAAAGGATACAGGAAGAGAACTGAGAGGCAGCCCTGAGTTGGATGCTGCATGGTGTGGGGCCCGCTGGAGACAGACGTATGAAGATGTCGGCAGCGCCAGGGAAGCCTGGACGTTTGGCGTCCTGACTCTAGGGGAGGGAAGGAGTTGCGGAAGTCACTGACGTCTCTGAGTCACCCAGGAATGGGGGGAGAGAACAATTGAAGTCCATTAAGTACAATCCTGGGGTTCTCCCCCAGGAAAAGGCGAGAGGAGCCTTAAAAGGAGGGTGTTGGCTGGGCAGCACTCAGATGGCAGGAACTTTAGTAAATGAGAGCTACAAAAGTGGGGGAAGCAAACACAGGTAGTCCTACCTGTGACAAAAGGAGTATCCATCAGAGACTACAAATGGGTGGCTCACCAGAAACAAGAACACTCCCATTATCTTTTTCTTTCCCCCCCACTATCTTTTAATTGTTTTTCCACAAACTTTTTGAAGCCCCCTCAAGTTTTAAATGAAATAGTGAATTATTTGCTAGGATTTATAGCTAAGTAAAATTTCTCATAAAATCTGGATTTCTGGTATCCTTTAAAAATAGATATCCAGGGTGGAAAAAGAACCTTAAGAGTCATATTGTAAAGCTAATTAAGGCGACTGCTAGGAGTAAGGAGTGCGCTTGTAGAGAAGTACCAAACTGCCCTTGCGGGTGAAAGAGCCTAAGATCTGTGCTTCCCTGGAACTCAGGGTCCCACTAGCTCAGCGGTTCGCAACCTGTGGGTCTCAACCCCTTTGGGGGTCGAACGACCGACCCTTTCACAGGGCTTGGCCGATTCATAACAGTAGCAAAATGACAGTGATGAAGTAGCAATGAAAATAATTTTATGGTTGGGGGTCACTACCACATGAGCTGCACTAACGGGTCGCGGCATTAGGAAGGTGGAGAGCCACTGCATTAGCTGGTCCATAAAGCTCCCGGTTAGCCTTGTGGGCAGGAATCCTGAGAGGTCCCAGGAGACGATCCTATGTCGCACCAGTGACAGATAGCATGTCTCCAAATCATAAGCCATGGGAAGGAGCAGGTCCCTGGCCACCGGCTCCATCTGGGGAGGGCTTCTGGCTCAGCAGTGCTTTTGGACAGCAGCACAGTGCAAGCTGCCATTTCCCTGGGGGCTGGCGGGCTGCTAGAACTAGCCAAGTGCCCCAGCTGGGGATTTCCTGGCTCTGTGTTGCGTCAAGATTCCTGGGCCATGCTCCCTAAATGGCTCCACCAGATGGCAGGCAGCCTTCCCTTTCTCCGTATTTACACTGGTTCACACACCTACAGAGGGAAACGGGCTGACTTATGGGTTTCTGACAACTGATACCCTTTCCAACAAGCGAAAACGGACATCAAGTTCATGAGTTCTGCAAGGGAGATATTTGGAGCTGCCTCCTGAAAGAAAAATGAAATCTCTCTTCCAGTATGATACAATTAGGTATTGTCAAAGAGTCATTAGCTAATTATCAGTTATTTTACAGTGATTCTGGTCCAACGTGTGCTTTCACCAGACATTTTATTGTGTGGTTTCATTAACTACTTAATTACCTGCACTACTGCCAAATACAAAATTCTGTGAAGATTTGATAGCATAAATTAAGAATTAATAATGCACAATTCCACTTACTAAATCATAAACTACAAACTGTTAGGTTAAAGGTTAAAGGGCGACATTGTGAAGCTGTTATGATACAGGCTTTTCTGAAGTTCTCCTCCATAGAGGTAGCTCAGATGAGACTGGAGGCCCACAGTACAACTTGAGAGTAGGCATAAGAATCCCGTTTCTGGGGCTCCCCTCTGTGAATGCTCCTTTGGGTTCTCTGGACTTTCCCTTCCTTCGGCTATCACCCTGGGCCATCACACACCTCAGGGCTATGCTACATGGGCCGTCTCTGCTTCTCTCTGTGACCTGGACCTGTAAGCTTTGGTCAAGAGGGAGTGCTTACACAGCGGCTCCTATACCCTCAAAGCCTCAGCCTTTTCATCAGAGTCTATGGGCAGGAGACTTCAGGAAGAGGAGGATGTGAGTGAGCGGAGAAGCTGACTGTTGATGCACTCCGCCAGCTGTTTTAGGACTGCTCTGGCGTAACTGCTATGACGAAGCTGTGAAACAAATATCCCTCCCACTTTACCCGAGGAGACCAAGGCCTAATAAAGCAACTCACCCCGTATGGGTGGGAACGGTCCATAAGCCACACATCTGATGAACTGCAGTCAGCACTCCTTCCGCTGGCTGCTCCCTTCCAGTGGTTAAAAGTCCCTTGGGTTTACAGACCGTTTGCCCTCTTCGGAGCATCGTGCCAGGTCCACCTGCATGCTTCGAGCACCCACAATCTCCCACCTCCTCAGTCCTGCTGCTTGTTTGGACTGAGCTAGGCGGATGGGCTACGCCTCGGAGGTGCAAGGCCTCCCTCAGTCACAACACAGCCTCCTGCGATAAAAGCACAGCCTCCAAGAGGCGGCATTCGCTGTTTCAACCAGCAATTAAAACAAATAAACCACTGTTTTAGTCATTTGGGTGAGTCACAGCGGAGGCTCTGAACATCTTTCCAGAGCAGAGCAGGGGCTCTGATTCGTGTGAGGCCCTGCTACTGGTGGTGGTGGTGGTGGGGGCCTCCTGAGGGGCTTCTACGAGCGCGCTGCCGTGGACGCCAAGAGACGTGCGCCCAGGACGACTGGGAAGGTCTGAGCATCAGCGCCCTGCTCCAGGAGGCGGAGGCAGCTCACACTCCATTCAGCCTCCTGGGGGCAGGCCCTCAGCTGTTAGCCAGGGGGCCAAGTAGGAATGACGAGCCGCCCCACAGGGCAGAGATGTGGCCAGCGGCTTGGGTAAACACTTCTAGCCGTGGAGACCCTATGGGGGCAGCTTCTAGAATAGTGGTTCTCAACCTTCCTAATGCCACGACCCTTCCATATAGTTCCTCATGGTGTGGTGACCCCCCCACCAACCATGTAATTATTTTCATTGCTACTTCATAACTGTAATTCTGCTGCTGTTATGAATCGTCATGTAAATATCTGATATGCAGGATGTATTTTCATTGTTACAAATTGAACATCATTAAATATAATTAAAGCATAGTGATTAATCACAAAACAATATGTAATTATATATTCTGGAATATTTAGGTTTTCTGATGGTTTTGGGTGCCCCGTGAAGGGGTCGTTTGACACCAAAGGGGTCACGACCCACAGGTTGAGAACTGTTGTTCTAGGGTTGCTGTGAGTTGGAATTCACTCAATGGTAACAAGTTTTCAGCAAAACCCGTCTGCAGAGCATCTACGTCCTCCAGAGTGTGCTCCTGCCCCTAACCTTCTCCGAGGCCTCCTTACTTAGCTGCCGGGCGGGAACTTTCTCCTCCTCCTGTGTAAATCTGCTGGGCTGGCCGGCCAGCCTGACCTGTGTCACAGCGCTAAGAGCCGACGGAACTTCCGGAGCGCACACAGACTCTGCAGAAGCAAGACCCAGCTAAGCCACATGGACGCACCACAGAAGCCCTGCCAACATTTGATAGAAACAACCTATTTAATGCATTTGTCAGGCAGCCAGCCAGTCAATCAGACCAATTAATTGCCACAGCCAATTCTGGTGCATGGCAGATCACATGTGGGGCTGCTAACTGCAAGGGCAGCAGACGGACCCACCTGGTGCTCTGAGGGGGACCTCCTGCTGCCGTCAGCAGTGACAGTGGCAGAGCCCGCAGGTGCGGTTCCACTGTGCAGGAGGGCTGCTGAGCGGGCCAGTGAGAGCGATCAAGAGCGCGAACTGATCAGAGAACACTGGCGCTATTTTCCTTCCTGGGCCCTCGGATGACTCTCCAGGCCTGCTTTAGAAAATCTACGGTTTTACGGTCAATAGCCCCCAACACCAAGAGATGGCCCAACCTGGATATGTCTTAAAGTAGTAGGGCAGTTGGGAAACAAAAGAAAAGAAACAGTTCAGTAGGACTGTGAAGAAACACAAAAAAGGTCCAAATGGGTCATTTGCAGATAAAAAGACAACTGGTGGTGGTGATTTGTTGATGCTTACTGGTATTCTTATTTTTCAATTTTCCTTTATGTTATAATGTACTTATTTACACAAAATACTTAGCTGGATAGTTCAAGAAAATACCGTGGCCACACTTCAATTCCCACAGTGACCTCAAGGCGAGTGATTAAAAGGCCAAAGTTGCCCCCGTGTGGCCAGAGAGGGAACTGCTATCCTTTGAATAAGCTGCCGGCTAGGACACTAGTGCAGAACACCCATATTCTCTTAAGAGGCCTCAGACTCCCCACAGCCGTCTTCATCTTTCCCATCGCTTGTTTGGCTGTTACTGTCAGATCTTAGAAGAGTGTTCACGGTAAGCACATAAACACCACGGTTGTAAATAGCCAACCAGAATTCAGTCTCAGGGTGCAGAGCACCGCGCAGGTGTTATGAACAGTTTGCCAAGGAGGACTATGGACTGAAGGAACCAAACAGATTGCAAAGAACAAAAGTAGCTTTAGTCCCTCGGGAAACAAGCTCTGCTTCTGTTCCCACTTTCATTATCAAGAGATCCAAAGCCAATGCCAGGGCCAGAATAGAATGGGAGAAAATACCACGAAGATTTAATTTCATGCCAATCCACCAAGATGAACCTGCCCTCCAGACACTTATGAGAGTATCACCCAGCATTTTGTACTGGGGGTAAAGAACGAATTCCTTTTCCCTACCAGAGGTGGATGCTATATATAATGTATACTATATATATAGTGTTTACATATATACTTCACAGGTGAGTGCAATATATATTCCAAACCGACTTCTCAATCTTTCTTCTACATTAAGAAAGACGCACTCTCCACAGAGAAGGAAACAGACATCCGCACACAAAGAAGGCACTCGCAGCTCTAGCCACTGTTATTTAAAAACATTTCTCTGAGCATTAGCTTGTCACCTATGACCTTGTCCAGAACACACCTTTTACACCTCTAGTTACTAGTATTTGCGGTGAATCCCCAAGACTTGAATTTAAAGGCTAATACCATGCCAAAAATTCACCCTGAAAAAGGCAAGAGTGCAAATAAATATACTATTGTTCTGACACGAAAAAGTACTTATAAGACATTAAATGGAGAAACAAAATTATTATGTTTAACCCAAGACACAATCTCATCTACGGAAAGGGAAATGATAGGAAACACATTTCATTACCAATCCTGGTGGTGTGAGGAGGGTTGAGACTGTGGGTGATTTTTTTCTTTTCTACTTTTCATTTTTCTAAAGGAACAACCATAACACAACAACCAGTCAAAAATAATTGATGACTTGTGGTATGAATAGTTGCCCCTTTAACTTTATCCTAAAATTATGAGAAACTAAAGTTCAGGTGGACTGCATACTATTTGAATGCGATAGGCAGCACAGGCTAAGTTCAGGGGACTGGAACGGGTGGGTACAGCAGAGAATTAGGGACTGGAGACCCTAGCCAGAGTTGAACACCTTGGCTCTGTGTGACCTCGGGCATGGGTTCCTCGTCCTGTGAAACAAAGGGTTAAACCAAAGACAGCGCATCTTAATTCTCAATGGTCACTGACTCCTGTCTGTAAGTCAAGGGTCCACCTGCTCCCCAGGAAAACAAGAGAAGCAGGTATGCTCCTGGATCTGATTCCAGGAAGAGCACAGATTCTCCAGCGGTCCATGGACTGGGTTAAGAACATTGGTTAGCCTTGTGCAAAAGCAGAGACAGACCTACCAAGGCCAGCTGACCAAAAAGGCAATCTCTGCCCCAAAGCAACACTGAGAGGGGCGGATGAGACAGGAGGACAGATGAATGGAAACAGGGTGCAGGGAGGAGGCGGAGGAGTGCAACTAATGTCATGAACCAAAAGTGTGTTCACTGTTGAATGGGAAACCAACCTGCTCTGTATGCTTCCATCCAAAGCATCATAAACTGTTCTCACGAAGTAAAACAAACACCTGGTTAATAAGTTCCTTTCCATGGCCCTGTCTCCACTACACAGGGGGCACCACACAGTCCTATTTTCGTTTCCTGCATCTTTCCGGAAGGCCTGACCTACTGCTGCCACAATATGCCAAGGTCACTGGCTTTTTGTCCTAACCAAGAGTCACCTCTCCGAAGGCTGGCCTAATGACTCAGCAGCCTGGTCTTCTGCGTCGGTGGCGCGCAGCTCTGGCTCCATTCTCAGACTGCAGACTAAACAGAACGATCGGCTGCAAGCTGTGCGAGTTCAACACAGCAGAGGGGCGCTGCGACACGCAAGAACTAAAAAGGAGATTCCCGGTCCAGAAACATTCCTGCTGAGCCTGGCATGCCGATTAGAAACATGTTTCGAAATCCGGTTACTCTGGCCTCAGACATCTCCCATGCTAGCAGGTCAGCACAGAGGGGATTGTACTTGAGCCCACAAAAAGCGCCATCGAGCAGGTCAGCGACAATCCATCTGCCAACAGATGTGACTTTCATCAGTTAACTGCGGCACATACTATCGTGTTTCATTAAAAATATCTGTATTATCAAAAAACACGCACCCAAAGCCAGCCAGCCAGCCAGCCAGACACACACACATACACGTACGTGCGCGCTCTCTCATTCCACCACCCCACACCCCAACCCCAACCCCAGGATCCAAACATGATTGACAGTTTTCAATTCTGAATACTTTTATATTAAGAACAAAACAAAGCTCTGTGAGATTCAGATGTCAAAACAAATGAAAATCATACATCAGGAAAATCACTCCAAAATGGCTGGTGGTGGGAGACTAGCTGCACTCTGCGGTGTCTTCTCCCGTGGTTCCAGAAAGGCGCACCCTGAAGGCAGTCACCTGTCAGCAGGCACTCCCCAGGGGCCCTTCTCTCTGGCATTACTCAGGTTTCCCCCAGATTCTCCACCACCTGCCCGAGGCAGGGAGGATGATGTTCCCCGAGGGGGTGAGGGGGTGTGGGGGTGCGCTAGTCTTGAAAGTTGACTCTCCTGGTGAAGGAGCTCCACCCAGAGGAAGAGCGGCCCCTTAGGCAGCGCTGATCCAGGACCGCCGCCGCCTCGCCTTGCCAACAGGCCTCTGGGTCTCAGAGAACTGGTCCAAGCTGAAGGGAGCAGTTTCAGTGGGGTTTAAATTCATCCTGAGTTTACTGACAGCTGCCTGCTGTTGCTGATACTCACAAGTGACTTCCTCCTCAACTAGCATTAAAATATTTCCCTGTGAGTTAAAAACAAAACAAACAAACAAAAAACCCCACAACAACCAGGGGAAGAGGGGGCTGGCTTTAAAATGAGTTTGTTTCTGTTCTCAGAGTATCCACTTAAATGACACGAATGGGCCAATGGTGGAACTCCTCCTGGCCTCCCAACGCAAGCTGCTTCTAAGGCACTGTCCCAGCTGTGCATTGTGTGTGCGGCGCTAACTAGCCACAAGCCTGAGAATCTGGTTCCGGATATAGGTACACAGCTGGTTCATCAGATCCCTGTTTTGGCCTTCAACCCAATGCATTTCAACTAAGGCATCATCCACTTCTTTCTTAACGTTTATCAAACACTTAAAGAGATACTGCCCAGCCACTCCCTGGAGAGAGCTCCCCCTATCCACCACTGGGTTGCTGAGCTGCTCAGGTGCCTCCCGGTCCGGGGCTCCATTGCTGGAACCTTGGCAAGTTTCCCAAACCTCCACCCCTCCCTTTCCCTCGCTCCTTTCATCCTCCATGGACTCAGGCTTTTCTTCATGGGGAAGGGCATGCTCGCCTGGGCAATGGCCCTCAACAGAAACAGACTGGCTCTCCGGTAGAGCAGGCCCGCAGGGGGTACTCTCCTGGGCCAAATCCTGGCTACTGCCAGACTCTTTGGGGGTGGCTCTTTTCTCTTCCAAGGCTTGGATCGCGCCCTCGGGAGCTCGGGGAACTTCTCTCAATTGTCTCACACGGTCTCTTTTCTTTCTCCTTAAATGAATCCAGGAGTTCTCTATGGCGGTTAGGAAAAGGCTCACTTCCTCCTTCCCACAGGGAACTCGTTTATGCTGGACCTAGTTGGAAGAAAAAAACAATTTATAGGACATCACTTTTTGCTTCTTTTCTCCAAATTCCTTTTATAAAGAAAGTAGTATAAGCACTTCTTCATCATGCTCAATCAGGTACCTTCAGATCAGTGAGAATTTTTTCAATCCACGTCGTCACAACGACTACGCCTTCTGTGGTCTCAGAGCCCAAAGACGAAGCTTTGAGGGATAACTCCTTCATCACAGACTCTAGCACCACAAACGTAATGGGCTTTCGAGGCTTCTCCAGTTTTCTTCGTTTACTTGGAGGGGACTGAAAGAGACAGACAAGAGAGGAAAGTGAAACGAAGTACCATCACTCTCTTGCATTATAATGGACCCAAGCTAGGGGCATTTCTATGAGGTAACTGTTGGAAATCATAGAGCACTAAAAATCAGCAAAGGCATTTGCTCACGTTTCCCAGCTCCCCATTTACGGATGGGAAAACTAAGAGACAGAGCAGCTGTGTAATCACCTCAAGGTCACATATCCCTAACTCCTGAGTCCGAATTACTCCACCATATCATGCAGCCTCTGTTCTGGCTCTGTCTACCATTCCTCCCATTGCTAAATGACCCTGTCTACCGTTTTGCTCAAAGCTGGCCTGGGTAATTATTTAGTGCATGCCAATTCAAGGAGCCTGGGGCACCATAGAGAACTACAGGGCTTGAAATCACCAACTTGTAGTGTGAATTTGTACTTTGCTGAGGCTTTAAATAAAACAGCAAGTGAACCACGGTGTGTGAGACTCTGGCCAATCCATTCACATGCGCGGAAGAGGAGGCCTGCTGAATGCCCATGAATGCTGGTCCCCGCCAGAGGCGAGCTAAGCACTGCCTGGCACACACGCAACTGGGGAGCAGGGCAGCCCAAGCCCAGGCAACCCTGGAGATGCTCCGCTCGTGTCCCAGCTTGGAAGGTCAATTCTACCTCACTCACTAGAGGGACTCAAGCTCCATTTACAAACCTAACAGCATCACTCTCTACAGCTTACAATCCTTTAAAGGGACAACTTTTTATACCAATGGTATTTTTAGGAGAATAAATCTAGTTATGACTATAAAGAATATGGGTTTTTTAAAGAGACACATTTGTTGACAAAATTTACCAAAACTTCAGACAATTGTAAGGTCAATATTAAAATGAGGCGAAACTAGTAAAGAAAAGGGCTTAAAGGGAGGAAAAACTGAGTTAACATTGAAGATCTTTTCCTGCAAAAAACATCAACAATAACAAAACAACACTGTTAAGCGCTCAGCCTTGAGGGCATAGGTCAGCAATTCACTCAGTAGTCCCCCCACCTCACACCCCAGCCCTGGAGAAAGAGGTGGGATCTGCTTCCAGAAAGACACCCAGCTTTGGGAACCCAATTTTGTCCTTGAGAGGGGGGCCCTGGTTGCCCTGCGGCTGCTAACTCCAGTGTACCCGGAAACACTGCCAGAGCATGTGTAAATGCACATTAAGGTTCAGTCACTAGATCATGCCTTTCACGAATTAAATGACAACCCCATGTGCCAGAAATATACAACAAAACAGCCAGGTAGGTCTATGCTAGAAATGTTTTATCAGAATGGATACTTCCAAGAAACAATCCCTACTGTCTCGATACCAGATAGTAACTAATTAAAAAATGACAATTAAGAAGGCTAGGGGAAAATATTCACTAGAGAGAAAAGAACCAACAGCAAAGTCTGCGAGAAAGAGGCAGCTCTTGAAAAGGCGCAGCAGACTCTAAGTACTGCCTCCACCACCTGTCCTGTGCGTGGTGCTGAGACGCTGGAAACGGCGTCATGAGAGGCCAGGGCACCAGGCTTGGGACAGGAGAGGTCAGTGAAAAACAGGAAAGACCCCCAACAAGATGGACTGACCCAGCGGCTGCCACAGTGGACTCCAGCCAGGAACAACTGTGAGGATGGGCAGGACCGGGCAGTGTTTCCTTCTGCTGTGCACGGGGTCCCTATGGGTCAGCACAGCCTCACTGGCATCTAACAACTGCACACGTACAACGAAGATCGGACAGATTCACACTGACATCAAAATAGTCGTACTGCCATTGCCCAATCATGGCAGCAGGAGAAACATACACCTTACAGATTACTGGGAACCTTATAAAAATTTTGACACTTTGCACTATGGCGCAAAACTAGGATGAAGCTGCAGAGAAAAGAAGCCGGTGACGGTGACGGTGGTAGAGGTGATGTGCGTGTGTAAAAAAAGGTACAAGAACCAGACTCTCCATTTCAGTTCCCAAGGCCGTCCCTGAAGACAGCGGGCACACTCAGGCCATCTACCCGTTTGGTTAAAAGGACAGCGCTGCCTATCTTTTTACCATTTTACCCAAGTGGTAGTCATTTGGGCTCATAAGTTGCGATCAGTAAAGATGCTGTTGTGTTATCCATTTGTCACACTGGGGCTGGCCCTCAATTCTTTCTTTTTAAAAATCATTTTATTGGGGGCTTGTACAATTCCTATCACAATCCATACATTCATCCATTGTGTCAAACACAGATGTACATTTGTTACCACCATCATTCTCAAAACATTTGCCTTCTATTTGAGCCTTTAATATCGGCTGCTCATTTCCGCCCCCCCCTCCACTCCCCCTCCCTCATGAACCCTTCCTTCATAATTCATAAATTATTATTATTTTGTTCAATTCTTTTTACGTAAGCATGAACTCTCCAGAATGGAATGAGAGACAAACACTCTCCCCAAACCCTAACAGAGCTCCACCAAGGATTTGCCTGTCTAGTTCTTGCCACTGCAGGGCTAGAGGGGGACCTGCCCTATCATCTCAAGTGGGCCCCTGGCCCCTGCACAGCACCTTGGTCCTGGTTTTCCACAGACAAGGGTCGGTCAACCCTTGTCTGGCATGCTGAAGGTTCTAATGTCTTGCTTTAATAGGTACCCATACATACACATTCTCCGAATTATTTTAAATTTCGTTTTACTCTACTATAGAAAACTCAAGAGACAGATAACATATTCTAGCAATTCTCCAGCAATGTTTCAAATGATTAAACTCAAGTACTGCTTCTAGCAGAGCAACCACGCCTCTCATGTTCTTATATTGAACATCAGCAGGCAGGGGCACAGTGAAACACAAGATCAGATCATTAAAATAAATACGTACGCTAGACCTCCTCTGTTCCTCGCATTAGGTAATCTTATACCTTGTCACAAACATTAATGAACAGAACCTTGGGGGATGGACAACAGAAAAGTGGGTGAAGGGAGACATTGGACAGTGTAAGATATGACAAAATAATAGCAATTTATTAATTAGGAAGGGTTCATGAGGGAGGGGGTAGTGGGAGGGGAAGGGGGAAAAGGAGAAGCTGATATTAAGGGCTCAATTAGAAAGTAAAAGTTTTGAGAATGATGATGGCAACAAATATACACATGTGCTTGACACAATGGATGTATGTATGGATTATGATAAGAATTGTACAAGCCCTAAAAAAGTGATTTTAAAAAAAAGAATCCCTCTGAATGGATGGAAAATAAAATACATTTAAATAAATAAAAATAATAATAAAAAATAAACAGAAATGATCTGTTTTGCTCTAATTTAAATCATCTTCTGCTACTATGCTGTGACTTCAAATCACAATTTTTTTAAATCAAAAATATTTTAAATGAAGGGTACTATATTCAAATCTATCGCAATAGTTCAACAGTCATGGCAGATATAGATAATTTAACATTAAAAAAACAAACAAAAAACTCAGTCATTCAAAGCGGGTGAATAAGCAAATGTGGTGAAGAAAGCTGATGGTGCCCGGCTATCAAAAGATATAGCGTCTGGGGTCTTAAAGGCTTGAAGGTAATCAAGCGGCCATCAAGCTCAGAAGCAACAAAGACCACATGGAAGAAGCACACCAGCCTATGCAATCACGAGGTGTCGAAGGGATCAGGTATAAGGCATCATCAGAACAAAAAATCTTACCATAGTGAATGATGGGGGGAGTGCGGAGTAGAGACCCAAAGCCCATTAGTAGGCCACTGGAGATCCCCTTGCAGAGGGGTCTCGGGGAGGAGATGAGCCAGTCAGGGTGTGATATAGCAACGATGAAAAATACAACGTTCCTCTAGTTCCTAAATGTTTCCTCCCCGCTCCCACTATCATGACACGAATTCTACCTTGCAAGTCTGGCTAGACCAGAGGATGTACGCTGGTACAGATAGGAACTGGAAATACAGGGAATCCAGGGCGGATGATCCCTACAGGACCAGTGGTGTGAGTGGCGATACTGGGAGGGTAGAGGGAGAGTGGGTAGGAAAGAGGGAACCGATTACAAGGAACTGTATGTGACCTCCTCCCTTGGGGATGGACAACCGAAAAGTGGGTGAAGGGAGAGGTCGGACAGGGCAAGATAAGACAAAATAACAATTTATAAATTATCAAGGGCTCATGAGGGAGGGGAGAGCATGGAGGGAGGGGAAAAATGAGGACCTAATGCCGGGGGCTTAAGTGGAGAAGAAATGTTTTGAGAATGATGAGCGCAATGAATGTACAAATGCGCTTTACACAATTGATGTGTGTATGGGTTGTGATAAGAGTTGTATGAGCCCCTAATAAAATGATTAAAAAAACAACAACAACCTCAGTCTGAGTTCAATCCACAGAACCAGAAGTTGAATTTATAAGAGGATTCAGCTAAGAAGACCCCCCTTTTGATTACCCAGCTGAAACGACATTCGTGTGAAGAAGTATAAGGAGTCCTGTGTCCCAGAAGTGACACAGGACATGTATCTTTTAAAGGGCAAGGATTCAGTGAATGACAATTAAGAGGAGGTGCTGCTTCAGGTGTGGCTTCGTTAAATGGTTTAAAACAAATTAACCTCTAGAGACAGTAAATGGATTACTGGTTTCTTGGGGCGGTGGCAGGGAAGATTGGGGGAAATGGGGAGCTAATAACAGTGAGTACAAGAATGAAGAAAATGTTCTGAAATTGACTGTGGTGATGATTGTACAACTCTTTTAGATGTGACTGAACTACTGAATTGTATGATGTATAAATTATATGCCAATAAAATTGTTGAAAAAAAGAACTCACAAGACAAAACCAACCAAGCAAACATTGGATTGAAACCATAAATTGGGAACACATAAAAAAGTTGATTATTTTTAAAATATGCTTTACCTAACAGGACTGCCTACACATTCCTTAGCCTCATGTTCACCTTAATCTTCAACATCTCAGTAGTGAAAGCAGCCCAGAGACTTTTAAATGAGGTAGGTCTAACTTAACACAAGTCTGAGTGTAGCT